CCTCGTAAGCCAAAGCCAATGCCTTATTTCATTAAAATGAGCTCGTACTATCACTTTTCTACTAATATAAGTTTGTCTCGCCCATCTATTGCAATTTCAGTATATCGTTTAGTATGGTACAATGTAAAGTAGTATATTATAATTTAGCTTAATATTACATTGTATGAGTACACCATTTACTGATAATCTACATACAAATTAAAGAAGTTCTGTGCTAAAGTAATGTAGGCATATAAGCTTCCGATATAATTGTACTAGTTCTTCAAAAAAAATTTGTTTGAGAATTGTTTGAGAAAATACAAACTTCTTTCTTTTGGTTTATTATTTCTGCTTTTGTTATAGAATGCACGATTGTAAAATATTAATCGCTTCTGCTGTAGCCACTTCGGAAATGTGTTCCATTGGATTAATTTAGAGGGTTCCTAACTATAGCTGAGAAACGCCTGCAAAAAAAACAAAGTTGGTGTTCCGAATCTATAGTCGTAACCAAGCGAAGCGTTTTTTCTTATTTATGTATATAAAAACAAGTGATTGAGTAATTTTAATAATGTTTACTTACTAGAAGTAGAAGAAACTGCCTTTCTACTGAAGTAACGCAAATAACTAGATTTCTCCGTCTGTTTTATTTCCATTTCACGCGATGAGGAATAGTCTTTGTTCTACTAGCACCTAACTCTTCTATTCTCGGAACCTCATCTTTCCTCTTTTATGGAACCCTGTTCTTGTGAAGCTATGTCTAAATTTTTGTTTTGCTTCGAAAGTGTTTATTACATGATATGGTTAAGCTGATCATTTTTTATCACTTGAGGATTATGTCGATGCTACCGACGTAATATTCAAACAAATGCAGATCAGGCCACCTCACATTTTAATTAGATCGTAGATATGAAGTCCAAGATGGTGTGGGTGGGTGGATGAGGTAGAGGATAATCGAGTCATGAGTTTGAAGCTTAGGGAGAGGAAGATTCCTAGGCACTGGAATGGGCATGAGCATAATCTGCTCGAAATCCTCGAATATGGCGTAATCGAGTACGGCAATTGATGGCTCTTAAGCGGCCAGATTTTATACAGCTAAACCGTAATTCTGATGTGTTGCAGCGACCAATTGTCAAACTGGTATGAAAAAAGGGGGACAGAATGTAGGTCAGGAATCCCGCAAACTGCACTTGGTACAGTTAGTGGGGATGATTGCGCTTCATTAAACCCACTTGTAACGACACAATCTTAGACGACATTGGAAGAAACGAGGGCACAGAATTGTATGAATAAGTGGATGGGCTACATGAAGTAGGGTTGAGATAAATAGAAGGTAGAACAAAAAATAGGAGCGAGGAGTGATGCTACAACTGTTGAACATAAAATTAGTTAGGGGGATTGCCAACTGATAAGTTGTATCACTGTCCTTATGATGGCGCCTCTCACTAATGATGCCGGCGAAACGTTTGGGAATTTACCCAGTCAATGCTCCAATGCTGGAAATTACGAACATTATGGCAGAGGACACGGGACTAAGTACGTTCCACAAGGTCTCCCTGACGCCCCGACCAAGTTGCGAAAACAAGGTCGAACTCCTCACATTTTCCTTAATAATCTTGTTCGATAAATAAGGGAATCTTTTTATCGCAATTTTCAAACGAAGTGGAAATCATCCTCAAGTGCTTACTATAAGAAGTCAAGTGAAATTACTTTTTGCACTTGCATTTTGTTTAGCCAATGCTATAATACTGACTTTCTCAAGCATTAGTACATTACATAAACTAGTCTCAAAATCTCGTCTCTTAAAATTTAGTTACAACATATTGATTTAAGTTACATAGTGTTTATGTGTACAAATCCCCTTGAGCCAGTTCTTAAAGCATAATAATTAAATAAACACTATACGTTGATTTTTCCGTCTACATAATACATGGAAGGAATAAATGACAACTCGTGTCGATTATTTATTTTTCGTCTTTTATTTCGTTCACATATCCGGACAGCCTACGCTTTACACGCTAAGTAGCCAACTTTTTTAAATCATCAGTCTAACATATTGTCGGGTGAACTTGATAACTATTGCTCTTTTGTATGAGCCCCTAGAATTGAAAAGCTAACCTGTTGCTTAACGAAACATCAGCATGCTTATGAATTGATGGATATGGCTTCATTTTACTTCAAGCAGCTATGAATTGACCTAATGTGCCTAAATAGCACACCTCGTCGAATCCGACGGGCCTTTTCCTTGCTATATGAGTACACCCAAATTTTTTGTCCCTAACTAGGTGACAAAATTCTTCAAATTTTTCAGAAATTTTCCGGAAAACATTTTTATGTGCTAGATTTAGAGGGCAAGTCTACATTATATGTTCTTTATCTTTATTACACCTCGTTCTCTGCTAATTTTATTCTATCTTTACAAACGCAATATTTAATTTACATTCATTTACTTTAAATTTAAGTACTTTAGCATCACTTATGTCGTATTCCAGATGCATACAATAATGTCAATACTTCAATTTTTATATTCCATTATCACACTGATATCTTTAGTGAACCTGTGTGCATATTCATGACATTAATTTCCTCATAGCTAGGACAAAACTGTTACCTAATTATGGTATCTGTCTATACTTGGTTCAATTTTTATTCAAATTTATTTATAATTGCATCATTTCTGGGGCACAGATTTTGTTCAGTTTTTATAGTCCACCTATTTGGAGAGAAATTATGGGAATTGGTTATGCAAGGACACCTTGGAACTGTTATCCACTCAAAAGGGTCGATTGCAGATTTTATTCCGCTTAGCTTGGATCAAATTTAGCAGTGGACACTAACCCATAAAATGTTGAATATATTCGGATACGCTATTAATTCAGTTGCAGAAAAATTGAAATCAATGACAATGCAACGTAATTTGTCCTTAAGTTTTTTCCACTCGCAAATTTTCTGACGACTTATTAAGAGGAGCTACTTTATGTGCTTGTCTATAGTTACGTTCATTTTTTTCAGGCTGCGATGCAGGAGCTAATTCGCCCAACTGACCAACCACGATCTCCAGAGACTCTTGCTGCAGCAGTATTTGCTGCCAGCTCTAATCTCTCCAATGGACAGACATCCACCAATGGTTCTGTTGCAGGCTGTAGTAATGGTAGTGAGGCTGGAAATGGTAGTGGTGCGAACTGCGAAATTGGGCTCAATTATCCTGCGATCATATCCTGCAGAAGCAAAAGGTGGAAAAAGACATCTTTTTCTTCTGCCTCCCAGATCAATGCACTTACCCTGCCGTCTCCATCGCCTCTCTCTCCATTCTCTAATATTGCTTCAGAATCACAAATATGTCTGTCCACTCCGTTTTCACAGTCTGATCCATCGGGCCAGTTTAACGATCAACCTCCGCAAGAGCAATCATCTCTGGCACCAGCACAAGTGTCAGTTGCACCACTTTCATCGCCATCATCGCCGTCATCTGATGTAGCATCAGCGCCAACGACATTTGATATTGTTATAACCACTACCTCAAGCCCCTGTTCTGAGGTCGCTCCACTGGCCTCCGCCGAAGACAATTGCTCTTCGCTAGTTGACATCATTCCTACTTCCTCAGCTTCCTCGACAGCCACTCCCAAAGCAGAAGAGATAGTCGAACTTCCTCGATCACTACATACGTATGCAAAAGAACCTTTGAAACTAGCAACGGATTCATCTGATACCACCGCGCTTATAGAAGCACAAGAGGATATGCCAGAACAGGATGAAAAATTGGAAGAAGAGGCCCCATCTGTTAGCATAGTTGAGCCTCCTGGAAGCGCTACTTCGACTGGAGCTGACTTAATGGAGACCGCTAATACAACTTCAGCTGCGACAATAAAGACTGAGAAGGAACCAACCTTTCGAGCGACGTCAGAATCAGAGGCAGTCGACACCGTTTCTTGTTCTCAGGGAGAGAGTCTGTTGGAAGCTACGGAAGCTTGCGTAGACTCACTGAATGTTAAATCTAAAACCACAGACGAAAATCCGCTAGAACTGTATGCAGCAACATTGAATGCCACTATTGCTCCGCGTATGCCTTCAATGCCTTTTTATGTTATTTTACAAACAAACAAGTTCTACAATTCATTTATATACTTTTTAAACCTTCAGCAAGTCCATATTGGAATGCTGATCTCATCAAGTCACCTTAAAAAATCCTATAACTGAAAGTTGACGTCCTCGAGATGAATAAGCTTCGCTTTTTAATCGGATTTACTTAGTCTTGTTTCCCAAAAGGCTATACCATCGAAGTTTTGTCTCCATTTTACCCTGTCTAAGTATCATCATCATCCTCAATTCGATTCGAAACCATGTTGCATACATTAAGTTGCAACATTTTAGCGTTTGTCAATGCTGCCCTTATTCCACTATAGCATATAATACGTAATTTTTCAACCTACGATAGCCTCAATCACTTAAGTAATACCATATATTCCCCTATCGAAGGGTTCCTGTCATATTTTATCCTGATGAATATGTAATCTTTCTAGTGGTCGTTCGACCTCGTCTTCACAACTTTGTCGAGCTTACCCAGTACTTCGTCCTTAGCCATTGTATACATGATTTTCAGTATCGCGTCATTAACTTTATACATTCCTTGACGTTTCGCAGACATCTCAGTCGGCTTCGTCAGCTAGAGCCACCGTCATTAGCTCAAAGATAAAAAATATCAAAGTGGCAAGTGAAGACAATCCCCTTGATCAATTTTATTTTCAACGGTTGTGGCATCACTCCTCGTTCATTGTCTTTGTCCTACCCTCTAGTGCTGTATCTCTTACTCTCAACTCTTCTTCCTACTTTCGATTTACCTATTCACACATTTTTTTGCTTTCGTTTTCCTCGATGTTGCCTATGGTTATGCAACTTCCAGTGGATGTAGTGATGCATAATCATCTTCACCACTGGTTCCAGGTGCCCTTGCAGGTCTGATCTTCATTCAGCGTCACCTTTTTCACCCAGATTGTCACTTGATCGCTGCTACACATCAAAATCACTTAGGCTGTCTGAAGTTTCACTTCTGGTTCCAGTTTACGTCATATTCGATTATTTAGAGCCAGTTATGCGTGTGTCTAGACATCTTCTCCCTATCCTTCAGATCTATCACTCAGTTATCGTCTTTCATCTCCACTTCCATTCTATATCATTCTTTAGGGCCCTTTGCCCGGCTTAATTCTTAACCACTTTATTGGAAG